CATACATGCATCATCACTATTAACTCACTATGGATGTTTAGGTCTTAAACAAATACATACTTACCCATTTCTTTAATCATTTATGCAAATGAGATGTGTTTAAAAAATATTTCTGCTTAGAATTTGGCTTTTCCTCTAGCTAGATACTATTTTTGGTTTCGATGCACAATAGACTACTAATGATTGTATTTTTTTCTCTTTGGTTGCTGTGTAATGGATTCACTTTTTTCCAAATACAGAATATTTCATTGTATGCTATACACTTATTTTTCGCTCAAATGTTTTCTGTTATTGTGTTTGTATAAATGAGCTGCCATTTCAACTAATCACTTATTTAGTGGTGTTCATAGCTGTTAAACGTATCTTGAAAAAAAATTCATCTGTTGTTTTGTTGTACATCCGGAAAGTTACATTGCAGTGAATATCTTAAAAAAACGTTTAGGTTCTATGTCAAAAATTGACATAAAGCTTCATTATTTCCAGGCGATTTGAAATATTCACTGTGTTCGCCAAGTGTTATCGCCTATTATTTTTAGTTTTGTTTTATTTACTTTTAAAACCTGATTTCACTTCCTTTTTTTTACGCCGATCACATTTGAATCACCTTCAAATGTGAATTGCTAAAACTAACGTGTTCTGCCTAAAAAATTGACGGCTGTTTATTGTGGATGATGAATTCATCGCTTAGTTTCACGAATTTTGTTCATTCAATGAATCACTACAAATAATTGGAAAATAAATGTTTGTAGATTAGAGTGAAAGTAAATCGGTATTGTGTTATCTTTTTTTACGTTGATTAAATCAATATGACGTCAAGGAGAATATATAATAAAACTCCTATTTATTAAGTTATTCAATTATCTGTCTTTAAAATATACAAAATATTCATAATCGTCTTCATTTGATACTTATCATTAAAAGATTCATATTTCATCCAGTCAAAAATGAACATCTTTACTTCTTATTAAATGTAAAGAAATACATTAATTCATTTACAAATAATATTTGTCTGCTTAATTTATAGCTAACTCTTTCATTATAATTTCCATTATTATAATTATTTAAATCATATTTATACTGATTTTTCTAGTGAAAATGAAAAATTATGGACGTCAGATTATTCATTTCATACTCAAAGTGAATTGTTATCCTCAACATCTTTATGGAAAACAATTACTCTATCATTGATTGATTCAAATGAACAAATTATAACTGATTATAAGGTCAATGTTTAATTTATTTTATATATATATATATATATATATATATATATATATATATATATATATTATATAATTATTTTTTGTTTGGCTAATTATTCTCCCTGTTTTTTTCTTCTTGTATATTAAATTAAGGTCTAGTTTTATATGATTATGACTTTCTTTTTGTTTTTTATTTATTTATTTATTGTATAAAGGTAGTGTAAACATGACTAAGTTTAAGGGTAGTATTTACATGTTTAATCTCCACCTAGTACATAGATGTCTTCATTGTTTTTTCAGGTCAAAATTTTATTTATTTCCATTTCAATTAACTTTGTGAAATGAACTATCATGTGAATAAGTATACTTGTATTGATGTATTTCTTTTTTTCTTCTTAAGCTGTTAATTTGAATGAATTATATCATCTTATTGTTATGGGATAGTTTCTTTTTGAATGGACTCTTTATAACTCTTTGAAATTCTAAATACTTGGATAGTAATTTCATCGTTTTTTACGTTCTCATTATAGTAAATGATCTTTGTATTTCTGATTATAATTTGCTAGTGTTTTATACTATATCGCAATTTGTTTTACTCTTTGTACTGTACTAACAAAACTAGCGATATTTCCTTCAAATAGTATTTTAGTTCGAAAATATTTTGTATCATATACTTCTAGTTTATGTGGTTTAAATTTTTTGTTGTTGTTTAGATATCATTCTTAGAGATTAATTATTTAAGAAGTTTATTCTCACTTTACACTTAAAGTTCTCATACTGAGTTCGTATAATTTACCTTGGTATTGGATGAATGTTAAATTTCTGTGTGTTGAAGTGGATCCCAGTTGAGTTCTTTCTTCTCTTTGACTGATTGTTTTGTATAAGCTTTCACAATTGACCAATTCTGCTTTATCGCAAATCTCTTAATATTTATGTTAAGTACTCATTTGACATGTAAAGTTTTATTAGAATTTTTTATATGATTACAATAATCAGACAATATTATTACTATTCATGGTAATAATAATCGTATTATTGGTAATAATGATCGTAATAATAATGGTGAACTGAATGAATTTCATTACAAATACAAAGACTTACTGATACAACCTTTCACATAACTTTTGTGTATGGTAGGAGGCTAATTTCAATATTTCTACCAAGATGTTAGTGATCATAAACTAATATTATGATAAGTTCAATTTAAAATACATTGAACCTTGATTTTTTCTAGAGCATATTTACAGTTGTTTAACTATTATTCTAGTTTAGTTTATCTCCCGAGAATGTTGAGGTTATACTTTAACGTATTGTGATTGAATTGAGTCAAGTTTGCGTGACTATGAATACTACTACTATTTTGTTAATTTTCTTTAATTTTTTTCATCTTCAAAAATCCATTTCTTTTTAGGTGTATGCTCATTTTTCTAGTATGTCATTTTCTTAATTATATTTTTTAATTTAAGTGCTTGTACAAAGCATAGTACTTCACAAAATCGCCAAACTTCGGTTATCTGTCAGAATACGGAGTTATGGTCGTCAGGTTCTCTCAATAATTTAACTAGTGAGTGGTTTACAACTCGGATTGAAATACAAGAGCCTATAATATCTTCTGATTCAAGTTACAAGGTGTGTGTGTTCGCGAATTGTTCAGTAACTTAGCATATAAATGGCTATTGTCAGTTATTCTAAAACATATTTTGTCAAATTATGAATCCGGTATTTTAAACAGTTTGTATAACTTTGAATGATAGACTAGTTATGTTTATGTGTTCTTTTGTAAACTCAGTGATTCGAAGAATGATTTGCAGCTTTAAAAAAAGGCAATTCGTCCATTCTGACTTTGTAATTAGCAATAGAATATATGTTGTTTGTGAGTCTGACTGAGTTTCTTTCATTAACTTTGGTACGCTTCATGGATTTTCTTGAGTTTCTGACAATTCAGTAAATATTGCGATTGCTTTATTGATTGGTTGTATGTGCATATGATTGAGTTAAAACCTTTTATTTTCTAAACTTTATTTATGACTACCTCTTACTTGATTACATTTTATTCCTTATGGTTCATATAATTAATAAATATATATTTTACCGAATTAATTTTTTAAGTGCATGCATCAAGCATGGTACTTCACAAAATCGTCAAACTTCGGTAACATGTCAGAATACAGAATTATGGTCTTCAGAATCTTTGAGTAAAATTTTCGAACAGTGGTCAACAGCTAGAGTTGATTTACAAGAGTTTGTATCTACGCCTGATTCAAGTTACAAGGTGTGTATGTATGTGAACATTTTTAATTAGCTTTGATCAATGGTAAAACCCATGTCTTTATTTTTAACATTATCTTCATTGAAATAGAAAATTACTCCGTACTGGTGAGTACTAGTTTAGTAGTTATATTTTAATTTCAGGCAACCGAATTCACTAGTTAATGCAAAGAAGTATTATAGCAATCTAAGGACTATCTGGAAACTGATTACCTAATAACTGTTCTGATTGTTTGCGTTATGTTTGACATCTTCCTTGTGATTTATATTTGCTTGTTTCTTTATTCACAAATTCCTCTCCCTTTTCACTTGCTTTTACTTCTTTTGTTTTACGATTTTTCTTTTATACTCTTGAATTAATCTGTTGAAAAGTAACCTGTATTTATATTTTTCTCTTTTCTAAAGTTCATGTGTTAAGCAAAATACTTATGAACGTGGGGAATCTGCTGTTTTATGCAAAAATCATGATTTATGGTCATCAAATGAAAATGATAATGCACGTATATATCCTTCAAATGTATGGTCTGTTGCCAAAATTGATTTATATCAAAATCAACAACGTGATTCTATCCTTTCAACAGATTCAAGTTATAAGGTGTGAGGGTGTGTATGTGTGCGTATAGTATCTTATAGCACACACTAATCGTTTCATTTCTATGGGTTCTTTCTCTTTTTATAGAAGGAATAATTAGCGCAATAATGGGGCCCATCTGTAGTTTAAGCTTCACGTCATCTAAATTTATTTTCTTCTTAACTACCATGCATTTAACTTCAGAAATCTATTATATGCACACTTATTGATAGTTCCTGGAATAAAATATCCTCAGTATTACCTCACAGTATATATTATTCAAATAAAAGTTAACATTTTCGAACTATCTCCTAGACCTGTCCATTTTTTTACGTTAATTTATCTTTTTACTTACAAGAAATATTCTAGGAAGTGTGAAGTCATAATTTGTCTACCTCATTACTTACGTAATCTATTGTTAACATTTTTTATTACAACATTTATTCATATTTTGTAAGTACATACATAAACTGATAAAGGTCTAGTGTCTGTCATTTATTTAGAATCAGTGTTCTTCAATGAAGCATATTCTCTTCATGTAATTTTACTAGTTTTGCTTTTCCCGGAAAAAAAAGTTACGGTAACATGATTTTTTAAAATCCATAGAATAAAACCACCAATATGTGAAGTCTAAAATTCTATACTTTACGCGTACAAGTGTGATTTCTGATTGTTTGCATGAAGTTTTGACATCTATAGTTATTTCTTATTTGAGTAGATTACTTTACCAGGTATATACCCGTACTTGGTGTTATCGTTTAGTTTTAATTATGATGTATGGACAAAATGATAGTCTGTGAAAGTCATTTGAATGTATGTATTTGTATTTATTATTTCTTCATTTTACCCTATCAATTACCTAACAATTTATCCTCAATTTTCTTCGTCTTATAAGCAGTATATGTATAATGTTAATGGCTTTTTGTTTTAAAAAAATAAATTTTTATTTACTTTACAAGATCATGTATAAAGCATAGTACTCAAGAATTCGGTAAATCATCGGTCACATGCGAAAATGTTGATCTGTGGTCATCAAAATATGCGTCGAACAATGTTATATCGAATGACGTATTATGGTCTGTTGCGAAAATTGATTTGCCCGCTTCTTCCGTATCATCTGACATAAGTTATAAAGTGCGTACTGATCGAAATATACGTTATTTTGTTTAAATATATATTTCGTTAAAATTGATACTAACGATAATAATAATAATAATAATAATAATAATAATAATAATAATAATAGAAGTGTTAAAACCAAAGAGTACCGAGTTTTGTCAAACATTTGTTGATAATTTTTCCGGTTTACATACAGAATATGGAGCTATTGAAAAGCTTTGTTTTCATGTCTTATTCATTTACTATTGGGAATTTATTTCATCTGTGACACTTGAAAGGGATTTCATCTGTATAGAAATACTTCATGCACATGTTTTTTTGTCCAACACCACTGATGTTCGTTTACATGAATTCCATTTTTTCTTAAAACAAGTACACTTAATAAATAGAATTTTTACTAATGTTGTATAATCATATATCATAAACGAACTTCTTATAGTCGATATTCCAATTATTTCTAAGACGTGTCGAACTAGTGATTAGAACATTAAACTTGAAATTATTTAAGTAGTATGAATAGCACTCACTAGTGATTATACATCCCTGTGTATCTAGTTGCTAAGTCTCAATGGATTTATTATTATTATTATTATTATTATTATTATTATTATTAGTAGTAGTAGTAGTAGTAGTAGTAGTAGTAGTACTCTGAGTTGTTAACCCGTTTGGTATATTCGTAAAATGAACTATACTCTGGTATTATATATATGCATCAAAATTTGTTATTACTATCTAGTTTATTGAGTTTACAAAACATTGGTCATAGTTTTCATATAGGTCAGATAAATATGAATACTTAAACTATCAAATGGGTTTTTGTGGAGATTGTAGTAATTTCAATGGTTGAGATCATGAGTCAGTTGAAGCTAGACCACCATGTGAGATAGTAACTCACTGATGACAATGGTGGATGTGTCGCTCAATATCGTGGATTAGTTGAAGTTAGACATTAACACCGTTGGATGCCGGCTCAGTGGTCTAGTGATTAAGTGCTCGCGCACGAAACCATTATGTCCTGAGTTCGAATCTCGCAGGGGGCGAGGTCGTGGATGCGCACTGTTGAGGAGTCCCACAATAGGACGAAACGGCCATCCAGTGCTTCCAGGTTTTCCATGGTGGTCTAGCTTCAACTGACTCATGATCTTAACCATTGAACTTAAACTATCACAAAGATTACAATTCATAATTCAGTACATAAATATGTATAAAGTTATATATTCATATTATACTTCTTTTTATTGATTAACTTTGAGGTGAAACAATGATAATTGTTCCTTTCTCTGAACATTAATCATAATTCATTGTTAAATATACGTGTATTAAAATTCAATTATAGTTGTTGTGCTGTATCACTAACTTAGTTTTTTTTAAATAGTTTTTCTGAAAATTTACTTTTACATTTATAAATACATAAAAGTTATAAAATAATTTTTTAACACTGGTTAAAATGGATTATTTTTATGAAACATTCTTTTCATGTATTATTGTGTTTAATACATTTTTCTTTATACTATTCAAAGTTTAATCAATGAAATCTGTGTTCATGTTGGTTAGGTTGTCACATTTTAATATTAACAATCTAAATTAAAAAGGTATAAAGTTTATCATACATTATATACATTTCTAAATCATCATTGTGTACAGTTATTGACTGCTATGATGTTTTAATGTATAATAGTAAGCAGTCATAAAACCTATTTTATAAAATACAAACTATTTATTACATATTATATTCGTTCTGTTTGATTTTTATTGAAAAAAACAACCTTAAGATTGTTGAAGAGTGCCTGTGTTATTCTTTTTTCTTCGATACCTCTTAACGCCATCTTTTCTTTACTCCTTTTTGTTGAAATTATATTTCCATTATTCACCTCCACTCAATTAGTGCATAACCTGTAGTAATAATCAATTATTACATTTGTAATATAAAATTTTACCTAATTTATAGAGCATGTGATCGTGTAACATACCGTGGAGATCCAGCTGTAGTATGGTAGGTGTTACCTAATTTTAATTTTGCATGTGTTTTACAGTGCATTAATTCATCGACTAAACATTAACTATCAATCATGGGATTCTCAATAAGATACTAGTCTTTTAAAGTTCTTCTTAGTGACTGTGTATAACATGTTGAATAAAGAGACATTACGCTTCCATATTACGGTAATTAATGCTAGCATAGGTTCTGTATTACATTTTATTGTAGCCCAGTTTAAAGAATTCAAGTATGTAGTTGTTAGTTAAAGTCATGCATTAAACTTTTCAGATTTTCAAGCATTACATTCCTCGATAGATTTATAATTTCCATTTAAGATATCTCTTTTCAACAGATTCATTGTTGAAAAAAGATCTCTTCGCTGAATTCAGTGTTTCTATCATTACATTTTTATCAATCTTTAACAGAATTATTCATATATTGAAGTGTATATTTCATCCCGTGAATTTGTTGATTAAGTTGAGATTCAATCTTCCAATTTTTTCTTTCATAAACATGCTATAAGGTCATTATGGTGAAAATAAAACTACTTGTTCGTCAGTTCGGTCAAGATAAATTCTCTTCTTTTGTTTGTATATTTTATCAATATATTCATTATTTTATTTTATCTAAATTTTCCAGTGCCAATAAACCTATTTGGTCATCGATGAAATCTAATAGTTTACAGGATTTGAATCAATCTATTTGGAATATTGTTTTCATTCAACTTGATCTACAAATAACCAATCAGTCTGAGTCAACACTGTCTGATTATAAGGTTAGCTGAGAGAAGTCATACAACGAATTATTAATAACTACTAATGTCTTTGTTTATCAAAAACCTAATTTTAGTTAGAACGAACGTTGTTATCGACAGGGTCTACTACAATATATTCCTTATTTTAAGTTTCCTGTATTACTTTTTCCCTAGTGTAGATATTTCATAAAAATAGTTTCAGGAAATATAACAAAATAGTTTATCTGTAATTATATGAACTAGATCGAGTCTTAACACTGCTAAATCACAGGTTCGAACCCCAATTCATTTAGTTTTACTTCTGATCCTTTTATTCACAACACCGACTTTATTATTAAAATTGTTCACTCAGTCAATTTATGATTTAAATTTTTGTTTGAATTCTAATTAGGAATATTTATTGTTTATTTGAATAGAAATACAATATATTGACAGAAGTTTAATGCTGACAATAATATGTATTTTGTGTTTATGAAATTATTCAACTTCCGGAATAAAATGCTACTATTCGGTTTATTAATTAGTTTTCATTAACATTTAATATGATTTGTTAGCATGATGTCGATGTTGATGCGTTGTCGTATGTTTGATACGTCATACACCATTCCTTTACCTCCTCTCCATATTTTTTTGTCTTTCCACTTTTGGAATTCTTATCTTTCTATTCAGTTGTTTCGAAATCTGGATTTAGTCTACTTTTTTATTGTTAGCAATTATTATTATTTAATTTGAGATTAAAATTCAATTTGAATTTAGAGAATGTATGAATCAAAAACAACAAGGGACTGGTTATGAAGGAGTTTTCTGGTAGGTGGAATTTTTTTCTTTCACCATCTTTCTCATTTACTTGTTAAGCTTGAATCATCCAATTTGGAATTCTACCTTGCCTTCTCATCAAATAATTAAGCATAAACAATCGAATGACTGGTTTAAGGCGATGATATCATTAAACTCTGAAAATGACTATAAGGTGAATAAATATTCGTTTTTCTTGAAATGTTTTCGTTTGTTTACACTTAACCATTTGTTTGATGATGTCATTCATTATGCATGTAAATTATCATTGTTTCTTCTAACTAAGGTCCTTATGGGTTAATCTTGTGATCTTACACAAACGGATAATCATTGTATATTTTTTCGTAATACAATTTTATTCATCAAAATAATTATTGGAAATTATCAATAGAGTGGTATTAAATATTTTAGATGTCTGTAAAGCTCTTTTAAATCTCGTTTATGGTTCAATGGTTATATTACTATTTGTTCAACCAAACAGTTTTATCTTACAATAGATTGGATTTGTTTGAAATTTCCTCATCTTCTCAATGATAACTAGGATTCTATAAAGTTTTCGTAGTTCCTATTGAAAATTACTCTTCACACTTCACTGCTTATTATCATGTTATAAATAACTAAATATGACTTAGCCGATTAAACATTTTTTTTTGAATTATTAGTCAACTAGTCTCAACAGTGGTGTTTCAGCTTTAATTTACACAAATTATTGATCTCTAGTTTTTGTGTAAAACAATTAATTGGCAAACCCGTACTTGGTTGCTCAAATTAGAATAATTACTTATCCTTCTTTCAAGCAAGTTAAAAGTGTAATGCATAAAATATTATTCTGATTGAAAAATTGAGTCGTTGTGTGAATACGGTCATCATTGGAATAAAACTGTTCAGTGTATGTTTGCTTGTTCACTATATAAAATTCCTTCCTCTCGTTGCTTTCCTGTGCTTTCTTTAATACCCTACATCTTGTAACCAATAATAGATTACTATATCGCTAAATGTTGTTATACTTACAATTTGTAATCATTATTTTTATTTATTTTAATGGCTTTTTGCTACTGTTCAAAACATCATAGTTCTTGTGAAGAAATTCGTCGTGAACAAACTGGAGCTTTGGGAGTATTTTGGTAATTAATTTATGGGAAGAGTCTTTATAACGTCGAATTTCCTTTCTATAGTTCAAATGATCAACTTTGGCAGTCACCTTCTCATCACGAACTCGATTCTCATTGGATGAATGTTAAAATTGATCTCGTTTCAAAATCATCTAAATCTACTGATTTTAAGGTGCTGTTTTGCTCCATATTGTTTGTTCAGTTTTTGAATAGTATTTCTACATCGTTTCTATGCAGTGACGTACTAGGATGGAGTTTGTACAAAGCTGTTGATATACTGTCAAAGTTCACAACATTTTATTTTAGCTGTACTGTGTATTAGGGTCATTATTTCTCACAAAATAAATCGATCTTAGAGCTCATCGTTTGAATATGT